CGACAGACGTGCGCAGCAGCAGCGGTAAACCATCCGCGACGAGAGTGACGAGGAGCAGCACTGCCCTGCAGACAGAGGGGAAAACGAGAGTTCCCCCTCCTATTAATTTTACGGGGAACGTTAAGTTAACCAAATGCAGGGTAGTGCTGGTTAACAAGCCGATCGCCTCGATCCAAGAGGCGAATAAGGAGTGGCCAGAAGGGGAGGGCGCGACAAGCTGGTCGACTGACCCCCCCCAAACCGGTGGTGACAAACCTCCGACCTCGTGACGCCTGGAGGAATAATCGTGGAGGGGGACTTCAACGCAAAGAACCCTCTCTGGGGATCCCCCGCCGCAGATCCAAGAGGCCGCACCTTGGAGGGGTAGGCGTCGGGCCTGGGCCTGGTCTTTATAAACACGGGCCGGGCCAGCACGTGCCTGCGCAGACGGGGAGAGTCCATCGTAGACTTAACGTGGGCGAGTCTCCCCGCTGCGAGTAGGATCGGGCACTGGGAGGTGGCAATAGAGAGAGAAACTCTATCCGACCACCGTCACATCGAGATGGTGGTCGACGCCGCCTCCCGAGAAGTCCTGGCCCGACGCCGAGAAATAGAGGCGTCTAGACCGAGATGGGCCCTCAAAAGTTGAGTCTTCACCACCTGCGAGCTGCGGTGATCGGGCTCACTTGGGCGGACGACGAGGAGGAACCGTGAAGCCGTGCGCAAAAACCGTGCGCGCGCAGTTTCTCAGTCAGCCCCGTGTCGTGATAACACGACTGTCACCCGAGGAGCTGAGGCGTGCGGAACGACGGGCGACGCCGTTGCCACGACAGGTGGCAAGACGGAGCCGGCGGAGCACACCACTGCCGTTAGTTAGCCGTGCTGTGGTGCAACAGTCGGTGCAGTTGGCGGGCGACGCGTGCCAATGGGGCTTTCCCGCCGAAAGGGAGGCGATCCGGCAGGCTGCAGAAGCGTTCAACTGCGCCTACCAAATACAGTTGACCCGGGTCACCGTGCAGGAGACGGTGACGTTGACGGCGATGCTGAGCGGGACGGTGCCGAACCAGCAGGACGAGCCCAGCAACGAGTTTATGAGCCCGTCCAGCGGGGAGGAGAACTCCGGAGACGAGGGGGACATCCCCGATTAAATTTAAGTTGCGCGAACGCTCCGAGGACGGAATCGAGACAAATTTTTTTTTCTTTTGTATTCTATCCAGTTTATGGTATATTTATTTTCCTTCCTTTTATTTATTAGCGTCATCGATTTTACCCGTCCGGCGCCATTAAGGTTAAGGTATGCGACAGCGGTCGCCAAGCAGCGGCTCGTATAGGTATTAAGATATTTCCTTCCCAATCCACCGTTTTCAATTTTCTTTTCGGCACAACGATGCCCGGCCCGACCAGGAGTGAAGAGATGTTATTTTGATTTGAACAGGTGCGTGGATTGCGGTAACGCACCGGTAAGTTAAATGGTCGAGTCACACACAATCTTCAGAGCGCGGGCACTTAGTGCACGTACCGCGCGTGCTACGCGAGTAAGAGTCAGGGTGCCAACTCCCGCGGTCCCCAAGAGGGGGCCTACGAAAAAACAGCGCGATCCGAACACGCGGACATAGGGTTTAGAGGACAACCCACGAAAACGCGAACGGGATGCCATAGCTCAAAATGGCTGAAGGTGCATCCAGATGGAGGCCCAACCGACCCCTGGAATCGATCGCGAGCGAAATCCGAGCACCCGGATATGCAGTTCGCACGACAATCCTCGAGTTTGCAAACCGGATGTCGTAGCGGAAAAAAGCCGAAGGTGCGTACTGGGGGAGGTTAGATAGACCGTAGGAACCGATCGCGAGCGAAATCCGAGCACCCGGACACGCAGTCCGGACGACAATACGCGAATTTGCGAACCGGACGTCGTAGCGGAAAAAGGCCGAAGGTGCGTCCTCGGTGACACCTAGTACACCCGAGGAACGAATCGCGGTCGAAATCCGACCATCCAGACGGTGGGTTGCCACGACAGTTGTGGAAACCGGTAGACCTAGACATCGGCTTCGAGAAGTTAGGCCGGAATACGGTTAGTAGAGACTGGGAGAATAGGCACCAGGGTCGCCGCCATCAGCGGACACGTAGAAAGCGACCTGGACGTCGTCTCCAGGAAGTCGACCCGAAATCGGCATTAAAGACGTAGGAGAGGCCGTGCGCACGGGTCGGCGCCCTCAAAAGTCCATTTTTCGAAGAGGTGGAAAACCACTACCTGGAAGTCGATTAAGCGTGTCGCAAATAGTGTACTGGCGGCGGAATTTTCCATCGAAAACATCTGGCGCACACCTGGCGATCCGAAACTCGTAAACAGCTATTGTATCTGCGTAGAATGGAAAGTTACCGCGAGGAGAAAGCGGCCGAGACCCCATGGTGGGGGTAAAACTTCGGAGGTAGGGAGCCCGAGAGAGGAATATTCCTTGTGGCAGTCTCTCGTGGGCGCTCGAATGGTAGCTATCTTCTCGCGCGTATATCTCGGCGTGTCGCAGTAACTATCGCGAAAACGTACCGGATTACGATTGTAAGCCTACCACAGTGTCCGAAACAAACGAGAACGCCCGCACATAGCGTGACATGACGCCGATACGAAAGGCGTACGGTTTTTTCGCGTACCGGAATCGTGAAATCGCACTTTGCGAGACGTGCGACCGCCATCTTGCGCGGCATCAGTAATTGTGAACCACCACCATTGTGAAACGATAGTTAACAATAAAAGCAATAATTATTTGCAAAAATATATACAAAAATATCAATTACTTACCTTCAACTTACCTGAACAAGCGGCTGTCGTCCATCTTGTGTGTTAGCGGTGACTGAGCTTCAAGGTCATCATCGATCCTGCATCAGAGGAGGCCATAGATGAGGGACCCGTGGCGGAAACCTGAAAAGAAACGGCATTAATCATAGTTATCGCGACAGTTCTCGTACTTACCTCGTGTCGCGACATCTCCCATACGTGGTGATCCTGGACATCGGTGAGCAGCAGTGATCCATGACATCGGCGATGGTGATGACGGACCCGTAGACGAAAACTGAAAATAAAAGAGAATTAGTTGCGTTGACTTACCTTAGTGCGGGG